CTATATGCAAAAGTAGTCTTATCAACACTACATTTAAACTTTTAAAGGAGTATTGTGGTCAAGGGAATGTGGGGTCCACGTATATCAAGAAGGACACAATTTGCATTTAAGAAATACAAACAATATAATAATTTTTTTCGAAATGACATATATGCCCTTGGTTGACCATCTTTCCTTTTTTATATAATAGAAATATATTTTAGCAGAAAGCAACTACGATATATAGTTCAAACCAAAAGACACTTGATCATTCAAGATCGTCTTTTTAATATACTTCTTGCTCTAACACCAAGTTTTCCACATGTATTCAAGGGGTGTCAGCTAACCTCGGCTTATTTATGAGCTTACTTACCTTCGTTAGTAAAAATCTTAGCTCCGCTACTGACGCCTAGTCAATTCGAGTTACACGTTCAAGGATGGACATATACGTTGCCCCCTTCCAACCTGCAAGATGAATGAGTAAGGAAGGAGTTTAAGTGTTTAATGGGTTAGGTATCAGGATTGAACATTGAAGTAGTCCATGAAAATGGACATCCATGTTCACTTATTTATAATTGGAGACTTTTACCAAGTCTTTTCTTTTGGTTTCAGTACTATATATATTTTGATTAGAGAAAGGGTAATGTTGGTCAAGGAGTCAATACAATTTATATCAAAATGTTGGACAGGGGAGTTGTATTTTGGAAGTCCTTTCTTCCATCATGTCCCCTTGAAAGAGGGTTTTTAGACCTTAGAGAGATCTTTGATTGCTTGTGAATAATCTTTACTTAATTTCTACGTGGAATTTTATGTGAAAAATCGCATCAATTGTATTTCCCAATAAGCTTGTGCCATCTCATTTTTTCCCCCTACATGTATTTAGGGTATTAATGAAAGTTTGATTTGCTAATAAATTTAATCGTTGTTTGATATGGTTAAGTAGTTCACAACTTAACATTCCCTTTAGAGGCTAAAATATTTTAGGTAGTTGAGTCTTGCCTTACTTCGTACCTTTGTGAGACTAGTCTGGTATGGTTTTATATAAGATAGCTAGTGGCAATGTTGTGTCTTACTATTTCGTTTTTCATAGTGTCGGGCCTATTTACTAGCTATCGCTTTTGCTTTGCATCTCTTCTAGATTTCATGTTGTTTCTATTTTTCCTATGATTTCTGTGGTGGTACACTGATATTGTCTCTTTTTGTCTTTTTGTCTTTTTGTCTTCTTGAGCCGAGGGTCTTTCGGAAACAGTCTCTCTACTCCTTCGGAGTAGGGGTAAGGGCTGCGTACACACTACCCTTCCCAGACCCCACTAGTGAAATTTTATATTGGGTTGTTGTTGTTGTTGTTGTTGTTGTTGGAGAAAGAAGATAGAATGAGGGGAAAAGGTTTTGCTCAATAAGATTACCACCGCACAAAAAATTTGAAAACTTTTTTTTTGCAGCATTGGATGGTCCCTTTTGTTTATTACAGTACCAAGTAGTTATTTTCATTTAACAAAATCATTCATTTCATCACACATTTGTTTAACATATTAGCGAAAGGGCTACATGAAAAGGTTGCCCTCTGCTTCTACATTTCAGATTAAAATTTCCATCTTCAGCCATCTCCTACCGTAGGGGTGTTCATAAAAATCCGAAAAACCGAACCAAATTAAACCAAACCAATACTTTTTGGTTTGTTTTGAATTTTTAAAAACCGATCAAATTTGGTTTGGTTTTGATTTTGATCAGAAAAAAATCGCAAAAAACCCGAACCAAACCGACTATAGGAGTAGCTATTTCAAATTTATTATTACACCTATATATATGTATATTTTTATACAAAGTTTCAAAAATTTAATGGTAAATGTTAATAGTTTGCACTTTTAGTATAGTTCTTTACCTTTACATTTTAGTTTGATTGGTAGTTTTCTTTTGGGCGAAATGGCTTCCTTGCCACTTAAAATTGCATCAGTTTGTAAAGCCGATATATAAACTCTTGGGTTTCCCATTTGTACACCTTTACTTGAGAAAATGGCTACTAATAAACACGTGTGATGGTGCGTGTTGTTCAATTGCTGCTGACATGGATTTAATTTAATATTTTTTATAGCCACATCATCAGTTCATTCATATTTTGTTGACACCTGTATGTTCAAGGTCCCACTTTTTTTTTTTAATCAAATTAATTTTTTCTACCCATCCCTTCCACTC